CCCAAAAAAAAAAGCAGCAGCAGCAAAGAAAGAGAAACAAAAAACCTAACTTCTAAGAATAAAAACCTGTACATCAAATAGAATTTTAAAAGACAAACCCAGTTTTCCATCTAGTTTATAAAACAAAACTCCGAAAAACAATGTACATAATACTCATTAAATAATACTTATGCTCAGATGTGAGCTTTATTTCTCTCAACATTTCAGGAAAAGAATTTGATTTGTTAATACATGGTAGATAATTAATATCTTTTACAAATAAAGGACATTTACAAATTATCAGAAAGACAGATATCCTACAATAAAATGTGAAATGAATAGGCAAAACAGTAAGAAATATAAATGACCAATGGGTACATGAAAATAAAATGTTACTCTATTAGTGGTCAAAGAAATGTAAATTAAAATAATGAGTTATAATTTATAATCATATAATTGTCAGACTGAAAAGAATGGCAATCACCAATATTGTAAAGATGTGAGGAGACAGGCATTCTCAAACATTTGGTTCTCTTTCCAGGCTCAGTAACTTGGTAATTGATCTTTAGGTGTCCATTTACCTACGTACAGTATACTTTTTATAGGATCCAAATGTATTTTAGAATTCCTTGGATCCCTAAATTTCCAGCATAGGCTGTTATTTAATATACTTTGGGGATGTATTTTTATGGAAAAACCATGGGAGTCTTTAGGAGACCATCCAAATTACTGATTTATTTAAATGACAGAAATAGGGCCAGCTGTGGTGACTCATGCATATAATCCTAGCAACCAGGGAGGCTGAGGCAGGAGAACAGCAAGTTTGAGACCAGCCTCACCAACCTAGTGAGGCCCTAAGCAACTTAGCATGATCCTACCTCAAAAATAAAAAGGGCTGGGAATGTGGCTCAGTAGTTAAGTGCCCTTGAGTTCAATCTGTAGCTATTCACCGCCCCCCCTCGCCCCCCCCCCAAAAAAAAGGGAAAGTATTTTGTTAAAAAAAAATCTTCAGGGTCATAAACTGGATTTTGTATGGAGAATTTATGGCTTTAGTATGTGATTATGGTTTCAGTTGATAAGATTCTCTCCTTAGCATCTTAACATGTTTCCTATCTATTTTACAAGTGTTTGAGTAGAGAAGTTGCCTTATGTTTTTCTCTGTACTCTTCCTAAACAAATGTAATTTTTTTTTCTTTTCTTAGTGAAAATGATTGTTGTTTTGGGGATAAACTAAGCATGCTTGCAGTGTTAGAGGAGCAGACAGATATTATAGTTGGTCTAGGTCCAGACTAGGTTTTGCTATTTTGTATAGTCTAGGAGCCTTGGGTTAGGACCTTTTCCAAATTTCTTTTTCATCTATGAAAGCAGGAACTGCTGTTTCTACCAGCCTCAAAATTGTATGGAGATTAAATGTTTCAATATATACAGTGGTTCACTGAAATGTAAAGTATACATATTAGTATGTTGGTATTACTAGTACTACTTGCACCACCACTACTACTATTACTACTAGAATTTTAGCCATATATTGAATTGATAAGTGTCACATAGTATATATGTACTTCTCTTTGTACATACTTGTTTTAACATTGTTATCCAAGCCCTTCGTTGTTAACCAGTGCATTTCTAGTTTTTAATCCCTGTGATTTAGCTCTGGTTATAGTGGGGTGATTGAATGGGTCACTGCTAATTTAGCACTCTCTAATGTAAATACTTGATTTGAATAAGTCTGTTCTTTTATTGTTTGACTACATGTCATTTTCTCAATAAATTATCCAGGTTGTGCTTAACTGGTTGCACTTTGTAAAATTTCCACTTGAGGGTAGTGTTTCATCATGCAGGTGAACAAATTTATCAGTGTATTTCAGTTGATTTAGAAATTTCTTGTGCTTATTTAAGAATAGTCATAAAAGACTGTTAGCTGCATGTCATAAAGTCTGGAAGTTTTTTAACTGATTATTTCCTGTAATTTGAATAATTGCATGGAAATGAATAATTAATAGTCATAATTAGTCTTTGAAGAATCATTACTTTTTCATCTCTTGAGGGATAATATAAGCCTCTTTATTATTTCATATCTGTAGAACATTCATTTTTATTTTTTAAAAATATTTTTAGTTGTAGATGAATGTGATACCTTTATTTTATTTTATATATTTTTATGTGGTGCTGAGAATTGAAGCCAGGGCCTTATACTTGCTAGGCAAGTGCTCTACCATGGAGCCACAACCTCAGCCCCTGTAGAATATTTTATTTAAAAATTTTAAAATATTTTAGTTTTAGTAAGACCGGTCATTGTATATATCCTATTATATTGTTAGGAAAAAATATACCCCAGTCTACCTTTTGAAAAATGAATTTCTTTAAAAAAAATAATGAAAACACATTTGCCCTAGCTGGTTTTTAATAGTGGCCTGGCATTGCCTTACTATCATCCCTTTTCCTTCTTAACTACCCAATCCTACTTTGAAACCTTGCTTCAATTTTTAGAAAAGTAAATTTTTCTAAAGAAAAAGATTGTGTTTTCAATTGTTACAATCTGTATTGAAAGATTTAAAATTCTAATGTGTACCACCACATCATTTATTAGTTGGTTATTTTTTATGGTTGTATTTCTTAAAATCTATGGATTACCCCGCCCCCCAATTTATTGTGCAGATTCTTTCTTTCAAGTATTTTTCTTGAATTCTGCTTTTTCCAAGTTATTTGGCATTGATTATTTGATATTCATTAATTTTTTGTGTTACTTCGTATACTTTGCGTTGGATTATTATATAGATTACCTTTGTTATTCATCTCTGTTATTTAGTTATGTTGGCCCTGTTATTTAGTTATTGACCTTGGTACATACTTTGTAATATATTAGTGTGTAATCTGTGTTGCTGTTGTGGTCATGTACTTCAATTTTAGTAAATTAGAAACTCTTCGTGGGCAAGCATTGTTCTTACAGATTTGTATGTCCCTCTAGATTATTTTGAAAATAGTACATGTGCAATTATTTTAATAACTATATTATTGAATGTAGGAAAATGTCATGTGATATGGTCAGTTGTTAAACATATAAAGATGAAATCATGATATAAATTAGTGACTGAACATGTATTAGTTCTGTATGTAATTTTTGACCTCTTTTAACAATTTTTTTTTTAAAGTGGTACAGGAGATTGAAACCAGGGCTTCACATATGCTAGAAAAATGTTTTACTACTGACATTCCTTTTCTTTTCTTTTCTTTCTTTCCTTCCTTCCTTCCTTCTTTCTTCCTTTTTTCTATATATTATTTTTATATGGAAGCAAAATGCATTACAATTCTTATTACACAAATGGAGCACAATTTTTCATATCTCTGGTTGTATACAAAGTATATTCACACCAATTTGTGTCTTTATACATGTGCTTTGGATAATAATATCCATCACATTCCACCATCATTAATAACCCCATGCCTCCTCCCTTCCCCTCCAACCCCTCTTCCTATCCCAATATGAGTCAGCCTCCTTATATCAAAGAAAACATTTGGTTTTTTGGGATTGGCTAACTTAGAATTATCTTCTCTAACTCCATCCATTTACCTGAAAATGCCATGATTTTGTTCTCTTTTATTTTTGAGTAATATTCCATTGTGTATATATGCCACATTTTTTTTAATCCATTCATCTATTGAAGGGCATCCAGGTTGGTTCCACAGTTTATCTATTGTGAATTGTGCTGCTATTTTTTTTTATTTTGAGACAGGGTCTTGTTAAATTGCTCAGGCTGGTTCAAACTTGCAATCTTCATGCCTTATCCACTTGAGTACCTGGCAACAAGCCTGGCAACAGTTTGTGTTTTTTTCATTCTAGAACATGATAGTATATTTTATGAAAATTTAAAAAATTTACAAGTGTTTAAAATTTAAACCATCCTAGTAGTTTAAAACCATGCTTTTTAAAAAAATCACCATTCATGTAAACTAAGGTTTTCTTGACCGGAAGATTTTTCACATTGTATGTTTGATCTCTTCATTTTGTTGTAGTAAGAACACTTAATATGAGATCTACCCTTTTAACTGATGTTTGTTTACAAAATAACAAGCCCTGTGTTGTATAGCAGATCTCTAGAACTTATTCATCTTGCATAATTGAAATTTTGTGCCCATTAGTTAGCAACTACCTCCATTTCTACCCTCTCCGTAGTTCCTGGAAACCACCATTCTGTGCTATTCAAGATGTTCCATGTAAGTGGAATCAATCAGTATTTATCCTTCTCTAACTGTTCTGTTCACTTAGCATAATGCTTTTGTGATTTATCCCTTTTATTTATTCATCTATCCTTGGACATTTAGGTTGTTTCTATACCTGATTATTGTGAATAATGCTGCATTGAACATGAAGTGCTAATGTCTTTTTGATATTTGAAGAGAATTTCCCTTCACTTTCATTCTGATTTCATCTTTTTCTGGATGCATAACCTCAAGTGGAATTGCTGTATCATTGGTAGTTTTAATTTTTTTTCATTTTTTATTAGCACATATTAGTTATACATTATTAGTAGGATTCTGTGTGATATTTCCATACATTCATACAGCATTGTGTTGATTCATATCCCACTACCCTTCTTCCACCCTGTCTCATTCCTTCCTGTCCCTAGTAATCACTGTTGTTTCAGTATAACTTAAATTTTTTCCCCCAGGTACTACTATATTGTCTTTGGCATATTGAATCATGAAGTGATTTTCACGTTTTTTCTTTTAACTGAAGAGTTGAGCCACTCCTTTTTTTTTTTTTTTCAAGAGGAAAAGCCTTGTAAAGTTAAAAATTTCATGTAACGAACTTGTGTTCTAAGTGTTTTTGCTGGTTCTTTCTGTCTGTTCAGAAACAAAGAGGCATGTCCAGAAAATGCTTATGGTGTTTTTAACAAGTCGAGGAAAGGAAAGGAAAAACTGGGCATGTCATTGAGGAAATAGACTAGTAATTTGAATTTCATTTCTAACGTATGTTTTGAAGCTCTAGAAATTAACTGGTATTTGTTTGTGCACTGCAGTGAATGATTTAGGAGGGGACTTCAAGGGAGTTGGTAAAGGCTCCTTAGCTGCTGATAAAGTTGTTGAAGAAATAAAAAGGAAAGGTGGAAAAGCTGTGGCCAACTATGGTATGTATTTAAGATAACTGTATTATTTCTTTTGTTTTCCTTCAGTTGTTGCATTTGTTTACATTGATAATCTTTGAGAAAATATCTTAGCATTTCTATGTAATTATGAAGTTAGATTTTATCTAAGTGTCACAGTTCTTATGCTACATAATACATAATATGTGAGAATTTAAAAAACTTTTGATTTAAATTATTTCACATGATTATACTCATTTTTCTGTTTAATCATTTTATTAAGGAGCACATGATACATAATTAATAAATTATAGATACAATTTGTTTGTATTCTCAAAAGATCTGTTTTTGGTGGGGTTCTTTTATTTTGTCTTTTTTTGGAACTGGAGGTCAAACCCAGGGCTTTGTGAAAGCATGGTAGACTCTTTGCCATTGAGCTACATCCCAGCCCCAAAGATTGAGAGTTTAGGACCAGTCTGAACAATATAGTGAGACTCTGTCTCAAAATAAAATAGAAAGAGCTGAGATATAGCACAGTGATAGAGCACTTGCCTAGCATGCACAATGCCCTAAGCTTGATGCCCAGTACAGCAAGGGGAAAAAAAAAAAACGAAAGATATAGAGAGATCTGTTTCATTAAAAGGTCTTATATAAGAATGATCTTAAGAGTATTTTTTTTGAAATATTTTTTTTCATTGTAGATGAATACAATATCTTTGTTTATTAAATTTATTTTTATGTGTTGCTGAGAATCAAACCCAGTGCCTCACATGTGCCACGCAAGCACTCTACCACTGAGCTATAGCCTCAGCCCGATCTGAGTCTTTTTAAAAATCTTTAAAAAAGATTCTTAAAAATATAGCATAAGAAGTGAAATGACATCTGTTTCTGTATTAGCCTCTATGTTCCATTTCTGCACAAGTTGTCAATGCTATATGTAACTTTCTTATCTTAGTAAAACTGTAAGAATCCAATTAAGTGTTAAATGAAGACATGGGCAGAGGTTGGGTGGAATAGTAAATGCAACCTTTACATTTGATGTGTTCATCCTAAATCCTAATACTGGAGATTGAACCTTGGCCTCATGCATGCTAGGTAAGTTCTCTACCACTTAGCTACATCCCAGTCCTTTTTTTGTATTTTGAGACGTAGTCTTGTTAAAGACGTCCTTGCTGAAGATACTCTTGCCTCAAACTCTGTAGCTGTTATTATAGGCATGCACCACTTTACTTTTCTTTTTAATATATGTTTTAGTTGTAGATGACATGATAACATTTATTTATTTATTTGTTTATGTGTTGCTAAGGATAGAACCCAGTGCCTCACACGTTAGGCAAGTGCTCTACCACTGAGCCCCAACCCAGCCTGCTTTTTTTTTGAATGTTAAGAATTTTAATTGATCTATCACAAAAGCATTGAGCAAATGAAATAATGTTAATAAAATTCTTTAAATATTTAAAAGAATTTAAAAAAATCAGTGCAGAAAATAGCATTTAAATTGTTTGGCATAATTACACACATTTTAATCTTTCACATTCTCTCTTTTTTTAATACCTTTATTTTGTTTACTTATTTTTATGTGGTGCTGAGGATTGAACCCAGTGCCTCCCAGGTACTCTGCAACTGTGCTACAACCCCCCACACCCAACAGTTTTACATTCATTTTGGAATTCTAGTTTTAAAAATTCGTAACCATGTTAACTTATAGGCAAATAAAAAAGATTACAGTTGAACAGATTTTATATAGAGTCACACAAGATTGGAAAACTATTTCCTCAAAATATTATGGTCAGGGCTGGGGTTGTGGCTCAGAGGTAGAGTGTGCACCTTGCATGCATGAGGTACTGGGTTCGATTCTCAGCACCACATAAAGTAAAATAATGACATTGTGTCCACCTATAATTTAAAAAAAATATTTAAAAAAAATCTTATGGTCAGCAGTTCAATGATTTTTAAGAGTCAAAATTTGAATAATTTTTGGCTTTTCAGTTTTAAGAATTATCCCAGAGGTGGGTGAGTTAGTGCATACCTGTAATTCCAGTAGTTTAGGAGGCTGAGGCAGGAGAATTGCAAGTTCGAAGCTAGCCTCAACAATTTATTGAGGCCCTAAGCAATTCAGTGAGACCTAAATAAAATACAGAAAGGGTTTGGGATGTTGCTCAGAGGTTGAGTGCCCCTAAGGTCAATCTCCGGTACCAAAAAAAAAATAAATAAATTCTAGGAAAATGTTTGCACATATAAGTGTATGGTATTTACATAACATTGTTTGCCAGCTTAGATATATTTACTAACCTTGGTCCTTGGTTACATTTTTCCAAAAATACCATCTGGGGCTGGGGTTGTGGCTCAGTGGTAGAGCATTTGCCTAGTATGTGGAAGGCACTGTGTTTGATTCTCAGCACCGCATATAAATAAATTAATTAAATAAAGGTATATCAGTAACTTAAAAAAAAAAAACCCCATATAATCCAACTAGGCCTCCATTTTATTGATGACTTCAATTACCAGGAATAAGTTCCCTAAAGTTAAGTAGCAGTACCTGTATTTTCCTCCTTCCTTTCTTTTTTTTTCTCTCTCTTTTCCTCTCTTTTTTTTTTCTTTCTTCCCAGTTTCCCTCCTTCCTTCCACAAGGGAGTGAACCCAGGGGTGCTCAACCACTGAGACACATGCCCAGAGCTTTTTTATTTTGAGACAGGGTCTTGCTAAGTTGCTTAGGGCCTCACTAAATTGCTAAGGCTGGCCTCAGACTTGCATTCCTCCTGCCTCAGCCTCGAGAGTTGCTGATATTACAGGTGTACGTCACCACGCTTGGCAGTATAGGTTTACTTTTAAAAGCTAATGGTTTAAAACCTATTGCACAAGAGTTAAAATCAAGAATCAACAAATGGGACGAATTCAAACTAAAAAGTTTTTTTCTCAGCAAGAGAAATAATATGTGAGGTAAATAGGGAGCCTACATCCAGGGAACAAATTTTTACCTCTCACACTTCAGATAGAGGTCTAATCTCTAGAGTATACAAAGAACTCGAAAAGTTAAAACAACAAAAATTAAATAACCCAATGAATAAATGGGCCAAGGACCTGAACAGACACTTCTCAGAGGAGAATATACAGTCAATCAACAAATACTCAAAATCAAAAAAATGCTCATCATCTCTAGCAATAAGAGAAATGCAAATTAAAACTATTCTAAGATACCATCTCACTTCAGTAAGAATGGCAGCCATTATGAAATCAAACAACAACAAGTGCTGGTGAGGATGCGGGGGAAAAAGGTACACTCGTACATTGCTGATGGGACTGCAAATTGGTGCAGCCAATTTGGAAAGCAGTATAGAGATTCCTTGGAAAGCTGGGAATGGAACCACCATTTGACCCAGCTATTCCTCTTCTCGGACTATAGCCAAAGGACCTAAAAAGAGCATACTACAGGGACACAGCAAGATCAATGTTTATAGCAGCACAATTCACAATAGCTAGACTGGAGAACCAACCTAGATGCTCCTCAATAGATGAATGGATAAAAAAAAATGTGGCATATATACACAATGGAATATTATGCAGCACTAAAAAATAACAAGATCATGGCATTTGCAGGGAAATGAATGACATTAGAGAAGATTATGCTAAATGAAGTTAGCCAATCCCTAAAAAACAAATGCCTAATGTCTTCTCTGATATAAGGGGGGGGTGACTCAAAATGGAGTAGGGAGGAAGAGCATGAGAAGATGATTACCACTAAATAGGGAAGAGAGGTGGGAGGGAATGGGAGAGTGAAGGGGAATTGTGTGGAAGATGGAAGGAGACCCTCATCATTATACAAAATTCATGTATGATGATGTGAGGAAAAAAAAAAGAAATGTGTCACATTAGATTGGGTAGAGAGAGGTGATGGGAGGGGAGGGGAGGGGAAGGAGGGATAGGAAGAGCAGTAGAATAAAATAGACACTAGTATTGCTGTATATATATAGGTGACTGCATGACCAATGTGATTCTGCAACCTGTACATTTGGAAAAATGAAAAATTATACCCCATTTGATTCAAATATATGATATGTTAAGATCATTGTATTGTCATGAGCAGCTAATAAAAAAAAAAAAAGCTAATGGTTGCTGACCTGAAAACTAGATTGTTTTCATGGGCCAGAAATAAAATTACATAGATGTCATTTCGAAATTTTAGGGGAGAGGAAATAGGATGTGATTTGAATGTTTGAGGGAATAAGACATTTTACTATCTTCTTTGCACATTGGAGATCTAGCAACAATGTTTTCAATTTTATTTCATTTGTGTACTTTTGTGTGGTGCTAAGAATTGAACCCAGTGCCTCACACATGCTAGGCAAATGCTCTGCCACTAGCTACAGTGCCAGCCCAAATGTTTTCAATTTTAAAACTCTGTATTTTTGAAAACCCATTTTTTTAACTATGAAAATTCCAGACTCCCCACTTTACCAATTTTAATATGCTGTCTATATCAGTTAGGGTTCAGTCAGGAAAACAGAAGCCCCTCAAAGTTTTCCAAGTATGTAGAGCTTTAATACAGGGAACCAGAAGCTGGCACAGCCATTAGAAGGGCTGTGCAAATGAGTGTCAGGGAGGCTGCCAATGACCAGGTTAGTCTGAACATGGATATGCAGTTAGTCTTACATCTGTACTCTGTACACAAGATTGCCTGTGTTTGTAACATTCTGCTGTGCTATCTCCTAGGTGAATATAGATCGAACATCACAATTATGGGGATTTTTACCCTTACCTGGGGCTGATTAGTGGAAGATAACAAAGCTATGAGATTTTGTTGAGCTTTGCTTTTTCTGTTTAGTATTGCAAAAATAGTAGATTTGACCAGATGCAGTGGTACACGCCGTAATCACATTGACTCCGGAGGCTGAGATAGGATTGTGGGTACAAAGCCAGCCTTAGCTTTGTACCCACTACGAGGTGCCAAGCAGCTCAGTGAGACCCTGTCTCTAAATAAAATAGAAAATAGGGCAAGTGCCCCTGAGTTCAATCCTGATACCAAAAAATAAAATAAAAAAATAATAAATAAAAATAACACATTTAATTTCCATATAATACTAAATATGTTTTTTCAAATTAAAAAGGCACCTCTTTCTCCTCCAAATACTCATTTGTATCCTTGAAGGGAAATACCACTGTAGTTATTTAAAACTAAATATAAATAAATTAAGTAAAATTAAACATTAAATTTTTCACATTAGCCATATTTTGAACACTTGGTAGCTCCATGTTGAGTGGTTTCCGTATTTAGACATTGTGGGAATAGGACATTGCCATCCTCACAGAAAGACTGATCAATAGGTCAGTGCTGCTTTAGAGAGTATTTGTCAAAGATTTCTTAATAATCTTCCTCATCACTCCTTTTCTTATAGGTTAAATAATTATTTAGGGGGCAAATATCCTTTGTAATATTAGAGGATCAGTGTTTCAGTATGTTATGTGCTTGCAATAGAAATGTATTTTTCTTGAAAATGAGTTCTATTGGGTGAATGGGATAAGTCATTGTGAAGGAGATTGCTGAAGTTTTGTATTAATTTCTCTTTCCCTCAGATTCTGTGGAAGCAGGAGAGAAGGTTGTGAAGACAGCACTGGATGCCTTTGGAAGAATAGGTGATGTTTCTTTTCATCTGTGGTCCTGATGGAGCACTTTCTACCTTTCTAATAAAATATTTTTGAATTTTCTATTAAACAAATCTCTTTCTTGAAGATATTCTTAGATTTGTTTTCTACATTGATTATTTTATTTAACCCTCCTTATTTCGTAAAGGACTGAATTGGCAGTTTTATGAATATATGTTTATTGTTTTATTGTTTTTGAACCTTAAATGCTTGTAAAAATTTGTACATTTTCTCAGTGTCCTTTTCGTAATAATTCAGTTAAGTTTTAAATATGTTTATAAGAAAAATAAGTCAGTATTTTGGCAATAAAGGACCCTTCAAATTCTTTTGAAGAATTATAACGATTTGGATAAAAATGATCTGAAATCTTGTAAATTAATTAAGAAGATTGTATGAAGTAAAAAAAAATTTCATTTTTTTAAGAAGCATTTCAAATATAGTGTTTAGTCCATATTTCCCTAGATAATCTTCCTGGTTTAGTTCTACATATTTTTACTGAAAGTTTAAAGAATTACTATGAAGAAAAATTACTGCAGATAGCCCAATATGTTTATAATCTGAAAAAGATTACTTTTTGTTAATTGAATGTGTGCCCTCTCTTTTTGTTAGATCTAGCATATTTATTTTTGAATTATATTAGATTGAACTCAAAAGCCATTTTCAGATACCTCTGATAGAGACACAAAATTGTGAAGTTGAAGTCATAGGGTAAAAATAGCTATAAGATGGTGGTTGAATATTAAAAAATAATTGTTTTCTCTGTATAGTGAGAATACAAATATGTATCAAAATAGGACATCAGTTTCTAACTTTAATGATTTTCTCTTTGAGTTTTGGACTTTTCAGTGGCAGTGACAGTGAAAAGTCTTTTTTTTTTTTTTAATACCTTTAATTTTATTTATTTGTTTGTTTTTATGTGGTGCTAAGAATTGGGCCCAGTGCCTCACACATGTTAGGCAAGTGCTCTACCACCGAGCTACAACCCCAGCCTAAAACGTCTTTTAAACTTAAAATTTCAAGTGATTTTGAAGTTAAGTGCAGGGTGGCTATGGTTCTAGAGTCTTAGAATCCAAGAGTTGTACAACAGCTTATTCTTTAAATAAGCTGATAGAATTTTGGTAGAAGATGGAGGTGGAAAAATTTAAATTCATAAGTTTGAAAGGAAGGCACTGATGTTATATGATACTTGTGTTTTTGTGAATTAGTTTTTTTTCCTGTAAGCATAAATTTTTGTTTTGATAGTATTCTTTGTCTATTTTATTTAACTCTTCTATGTAATTTTGTAAGAAGTATGAGTTGTAAGCAAATGCAAATGAATATGCTTGCTTTTGTAGTTGTGACTTGGATCTTTTTATATTTATTGTAGATGTCGTGGTCAACAATGCTGGGTGAGTACTTCTTTTTTTCATTTTTAGTAAAGTGCATGCAGTTGTTTATATAAGTGTATACTTCCCTGCCCTTTCTTACCTTATATAATATCAATATTTTAGAATTCTGAGGGACCGTTCTTTCAGTAGAATAAGTGATGAAGACTGGGGTAAGTTGTTTTAAATATGTTTCTCTAGAATATATCTATCCATTTTGCTTTTTTGATATTTGATAAATTTATATGGAAAAGGAAAACCCTTTCTCATATAAACTACATGGAAAAAGATGAATAGTTGGAAATAACATTTTTAAAAACATTTTATAAATTTTAAATAATATTAAATAATTTGACAGAAGTTATCTGAAGGATTTTTTTTCTGTTTATTTTCTATTTTTCTCCCTAAGAGATGGTTAGTATTTTCTAGCAGCACTAACGCTTTGTCCTTTTACCTAGCTGTGATTCTTTCAAGAGCAGAGCAGGATGTGTAAGAGAGTCTAGGGTACTAAAAATTAAAATGATAGTGATCTTTGAATAGGGTGGGACAAAAAGTTTCGAGTTTAGTTAATGAACCAATCACAGTGATGATTGTTTTTTTCTTTGTTCTTACTTTCATTGGCCATCAGAACTAAAACAAACAGTGGTAGCTGAAAAAGTGGCAGTCTTGGTAACTGAGATGAGATAATTGTATCATTGTTTATAGCACATGCTTCTGTCCCCAGAAATCCTTTTGGGAAAAGCAAAACATGGGCAGTGATAGAGCACTTGCCTAGTATATACAGGCTCTAGGTTGATACCCAGCACCATTAAAAAAAAAAAAAAAATTCTTCTGACTTAGAATTAAGAAAAGAGGAGCTTTTAATTTTTTTCTTTTTTTAAACAGCTGGGATAAGAAAGAAGTTGAAGAAAGATAAGGTTTACTGGCAAAGGGGGCTTATGTTAGTAATTTTCTTAGAGCTATAATGAATGAAGTGTGTTTCCTTCTCCTATTCCGTCCTTCTACAGTCAACACTCTTACTTTCTTCTAATGTACACATGAAAATGTTTGTTGACATCATAAATTGAAACAAAAATAAGTAAGAATGGTTCAAAAACTTGACAATTAAAAGAATACATTAAATCTAATCTCTGCAAACCCGTGGGTCTCTTTCTCTCCTTTCTGTCTCTGTCTCTCAGTCTCTGTCCCCCTTACTCATTATTAAACTTTGGTAAAAAATATGGATATAGTGAGTATTTTGTAATTATTAATGATCTGTGTGCTTTATGATTATTTTTTGATGTTGATGTTAAGTGCTAATTATGTATCTAAAATTCTTGGGTATAATAGCAAATTTTTATGTAAAATAGACATTAATTAAAGATGACATTGCATTTAGATATGTATAGGGATTGAAATAATTTTATAAATTATAGGGAAAGTGGTTGTAAGAGTGGGTGTGAACCATTGATTGGTGTTATAATTGAACCAGAAGCAAAAATGAAGGGTGTGAAAATAGCTGATTATGAATGCTTAGATATAAAATGAGTATCTTTAATTAAATAAACCGTTGATTTTGAGACATGTATCTAATTTTTGACAAATTACATAAAAATAATTTCTTATTTTAGATATAATCCAGAGAGTTCATTTGCGGGGCTCATTTCAAGTCACCCGGGCAGCATGGGATCATATGAAGAAACAGAAATATGGAAGGTAGAATTTTATACATCTATCAAGGAGGTTGAAGATGTTTGTGTGTATGTGTGTGTGTGTGTGTTTGTGTCCAAAGAAAGATTATATAAAATGTTATGAAATATGTGTAGGCTTTTAAAATGTAGTTTTGGCACATTCACATTAAATTGGTGTTTTTTAATAGACATAGATTAGCTGAGCTGGCTGGCTTTGTATTTTTTTCTCACCTCTTACTTTTCATTATTAATAATTTTCCTCTTAATTGGCATTTTAGAAATTAGTATGAACATTGAGGATTCAGTTATACATTATTTTCTAAATAAAATGTCTTTTTGTGTGTCCAGTGACCAACTTAGGGAAAGATGAGTGGCTGTTTCCTGCTGATATTGGTCAGATCTGACTTAGTCTTTGTAAACTGTTTAGGAACTGTAGGACTTTCCTTGTTTGGTCCTATATGTGTAACTAAGAATGTGGTGGTGGCCAGGTGTGGTGGGACATGCCTGTAATCCAAGCGGCTCAGGAGGCTTGAATCCTTGAGTTCAAAGCCAGCCTTACCCATGTTGAAGCACCAAGCAACTCAGTGAGATTCTATCTCTAAATAAAATACAAAATAGGGACTGGGGATGTGGCTCGGTGGTCCAGAGCTCCTGAGTTCAATACCTCATAGCCATTCTACCCCTCCCCCCACCCCACCAAAAAAAGAATGTGGTGGTGGTAGTGCACTTAACTCAGTGTGTGCTATTGCACTCTAGTGTCGGGATCATCCCTATTAGGGTTGCAGCATATCTTCTAAAAACAAATTATTTGTGATGCTTGTTCTTACTGAAGATTTCTAGTTTACCATGATCCTTGGCAGTTTCTGAAAAATAAATGATATGATTTATTTTATTTGGACTAAGTAGAATGAGGTTGAGTCAGATTTTAAGAGGGCATCGTATATTGGGGCATTTGATATTATCCAGAAGGGAAGAGAAGCAATGTGGTAAGGATGGAAGAATTAGAAATGCTTGATGTAATATTTCTTGCTAAAATATTTTTAAAATATTTATTTAGTTTTTTAGTTGTAGTTGGACACAACTATTTTTATGTGGTGCTGAGGATCGAACCCAGGGCATTGCACATGCTAGGTGATTGCTCTACCACTGAGCTACAACCCTAGTCCTCTTGCTAAAATTTTAATTTACATGTTGCTAGTTTATATTTATAAATCTTATTGTTTTCAATAAATAACAAATATCTATTATTATACTTAATTTCATTTGGCTCTGACTGGAGATTCTTCTCAAATAGTTACATCTTATCGTTGAATTTTGAGAGATTACTTTTATATCAGTATTTCTTAAGATACGAATCATGTCTGTGAGAAGCTAATGACCCAAGAGTTGCTTTTGACAGTTGCAGTCGTACCAAAATAAGGTTAGAGTTGTAAATTATCAAAACATAAAAGAGAATGTTGAAAGACTGATTTTCCTTTTAGGATCATTATGACTTCATCAGCTTCAGGAATATATGGCAACTTTGGCCAGGCAAATTATAGTGCTGCAAAGTTGGGTATTCTGGGCCTTGCAAATACTCTTGCAATTGAAGGCAGGAAAAACAACATTCACTGTAACACTATTGCCCTTAACGCTGGATCACGGATGACTCAGACTGTAATGCCTGAAGATCTTTTTGAAGCTTTAAAGCCTGAATATGTGGCACCGCTGATCCTTTGGCTTTGCCATGAGAGTTGTGAGGAA